GAACCCAGTCACCAGGACGTAAAGAGGTCGGATTCCTCGAGCACTTCTCAAGTCGTCACTACACACGTCTCTTGCAGGAGCAGCATTGCTTGATAGATCTTGGTTCAGGGTGCACGCACATGACACGCGACGCATGTGGGCTCAATATGCTAACACGTTCAAAACGTGGGCACCCTCGAATGTGCTGGCCATATTGTGCTTCAGCAGAGTCCATAGCAGTGTTCAGGGAAGGGAATAACAGCGACGAGGGGATTCCTCATGGAAGCACGTTCTGGGAGTCGGAGTCTGTCTACTAGGTGGAGCTGTATGATAACTGCGCCACTCAATCTGCCCTGATGGTTCATACGCTGGTGCTATAATCCGCCAGAAGATAGATACCAAGGATGAGTATTGCCCCATTCCAGCTGGGAACTGCTCGATCGTTGTGACTCTACAGCGCGGTGACGGAGTCTGGAGTCAATTGAGTCCGAACCTGTCACACAGCAAACTTAAAGTTTGAAGCATCGCTGCCGAATGGATACTCCGTACGAAAAGCCAGCAAGAACAGTGCCAACAGCAGAGGGCGGGGATGATGGTAACTCATCAAGCGAGGAGGAGATGCTTGATTGGACGAAACTACCGTTCGTAAGATATACCATTTCAGGTTCAGAGACTGTGCCGACGTTGCTGTTTATGAAAATTGCCAGCAGAGGTGGCCCAAAGGTTCGCATACCTAAAAGAGGAGAGAAGGACTTTGAGCCCGCTGGTTCTCGGCTGCAAGATTATACTCTGAGTCAATCGCGCGAAGCAATGGTGGACGCCCTTAAAGGGGTACGAGGAACTTCAAGGTGTTTGCTAAAGCCCGTGCCCAAAATGTTTGATTGATTCGCTTTCTTTCAGTAAGAATATGTCATATGCTGTGTGGCTGCCTGGGCTGTCCAGAGCCCAGGTCTTCCAATCTCGCGGTATCCACTTCAACAACATGGGCCATTCTGTTCGACGTTTGGTTAAATATGATCCCGGAGAGAAGCCAAGGACAGTGACAAGGCTTGAATTGTTACCCGAAGAAGCCTTGTATCTTCTCGAACGTGGTACATTGACATGCTATAAGGCGACTTCAAACGACGAGGGGGACGCGTTGTCGGATCCTTCTAATATTGCGTCGCTATTGGCTTCGGGGGCTACCATTTCTGCTCAGCAAGCGTACGCCGAGTTTATCGGTACAGAAGACTTAACATTAGAGAGGTATCAGGTGCGCAGGATTTTGACTATGCGTTTTTAACTGGCATTCTGAAACAACGAAGTGCTACGCATACCTGAAACGTCTGGGTTTTATTATTACTAGAGCAGTCTCTCCACTATCGTCCCCCTCATATCCCCAACCGCCCCCATATGGTCCATCAGAAAAAATCTTCGTTACAAGCACCCTCTATCTGGAAGACTATTCTCAGTTGTCTGCAACGAGTTCGATCGCACCTCACCCAGATATTTGTCTGTCCACATCACACGGATGGTTGAAACCATTATGGCGAACATCGTTTGGTTGGTTTGAACTCATGCGACTATCGTGAGTCAGAAATTTCCACACTCATGCATTCACCTATACTTATTACACTTCGGCGCACTCTTAGCCACAATCTTCGACACTTAAGAATCATCCCAGCTGGCCATTTAAACCCATTAAGTACTACTCGACCTATTAATTCCTCTCCCTACAAGATATTCTATCACATGTGGAAACCGAATTCGGCTTGGAAGAAAACTGCACCACCGTATCCCGATTTTGAACTTATCGTGATTGAGTGAGCGTGAAACATATTTTCCACGACGTACTATGAACGAATCACCGTACCTTTAGTGGTCGTACAACTCCTATCCCGTCAATATATGAATTAACGACGGTATTTGGGATGCTCCCACAAGTCCTCCACCTCTCCCACGGCGCAAGAATCCTCCACGCCCGCCGCCTGCACCCCTTGGTCTTACATTAAAGAACCTACTAACGCTTGCATGGCTTAAAGGAAAGCTATTTCCACCAAAACCTGTGCTACCCACCCCCCACCCGTTTGCTGCAATTCGGGCAGGTCATAAGAGCGTAGTAATTGGAGTTGTCGATGCAGGAACGTTATCATTCTTTAGATTTGCACAGGGTTGCTTCGAGGAATGGCCGATGATGTAGAATAAATAACAAGGCACCGTGTGCGAATACTATACATGCGAGGTCGCCCTCGTATTATGGCAATTAAAATGGTAGTACAGTGTACAACAGTACCCAGAGCTCATCACGTTCTTAAACCAAAAGCATTGTATGTTGTTTCAACTGCTCACGCCCGGAATAGGTACCGTGCCCGTGCAGAGATAGTGTTGCGCTTTCGCAACATCTTCAGGAAACCTCCTCAGTACGTCTTTGTTCGGTAAGAAAACGAGACGACCATGGGGACCCTCCTCAGGTCGGATGAAATGGCGACCTAAGCCGGGATAACCCTGAATGAGGGAGTGAATGATCTCAGCGCCCGACGTTTGGGATGATCTGAGTAGGACGAATTTCGCAAATGAGCAATGGGTATGATATTGTCTTCGGCAACGTCTACGCGTCAGGGAAAGCTCAGCGTGTGGAAACGAGAGCTACGGTAGGATAGGAGTAGGTACTTACATCTACTGCTTCCATCCGCTGCGGCCGAGGTATAGAAAGGTTGATGTCGTCCTCTTTCCAATGAGTCAACACCATATCGCACGATCCCTGGACGAGCTTTTGGGTTAACGTGTCTTTAAGACGGCGAAATGGGCGGGAGATACGAACATGATGTTGAGGCGTGACAGTGGTCGTCTCCCTCAAGAATCACCGCGATATAACTGAATACGAATGTATCAGAGGACCGACAGCATGCGGAAATACTCGAAACATACTCGAAGATACGGTGGACATATACCAGCCCCGAGAAGTATCGTACCGGCTTCCTCGCTGTCGGCACATGGTACTCTTCGTCGTCTTCCACAAGCTTCGTACACACGTTCTCCAGCAGCAGTCTCAACGGTGGCGCGAGGACAGGCGCAAGAACCGACTGCAAGATGGGCCGCACGTCCAAGGGGTAACGTTGACCTACTATTGACGTAATTTGCTGTATGAAGCCCTTTGCAGATGCGATCCCGACATGAGAAGGGATAAGGAATATACAGAAAACAGCGTATATCGATAGATCAAGATCAGACGCTTCGAGGGCTGCCTGGTGTAGTTGAGCGGAGGTGAGTATATTTCTCCCAGCCCGGAACACCATATCATGTGTCGAGGCAGGCTTGAGGTTTTCCTGTTGACCGACTCGCAGAAGTCGAATGACATCGATGAAGGGTTGAGAGTCAGAGTTGAAAACGTCAATGTGAATCCCTTCATTGCGGGCATCGTAGGAGGAAATATGATAACGGACAGATGGTGCGTCTGGTGATAAGGGCACAAAGGCGTGGACGTGACCAGGGATGCCAACTGCTTTGGAAGGGATGCCAAGACGATTGGTTATCGCCACAAACACTGCGACCAGAGAGAGCGGGAGGGTTTTTCGATGCGTGGTCAATACTTTGTGCATGAAGTGATTCCGCATGTCGTGATATGTGTCTGGATTGGGGATTCATGGGTGGACTCCTGAAGCTGGTATGGAAATGTTCGACTTACCCGTCGCGGCCACAAAACCCTCGCCCCTCATCCAGTGGCATACCTCCAAACACACGGAGACACGATCATATATTGGGTCATCCGGGTCCAGAATAAGCCTCATGCCTAAGAGATGTTCCCGACATTGCTGGGCGAGACCATCGAGCTGGGTAGCAATCTACCCATTTAGCAGTAAATTATTGGGATTGTCAAAAGGCGAGGATAATACGTACATGAGATGGCTCCACCCCCAGAACCCAGAAAAGATGCCGAGGCCTCGCTCTAGTGGGAACTCTCTGCCATTTTCGAGGTCTATTGCCTGCTCCACTGCAGCACGTCGCGCCATCGTCCGCAGGATCTATGACCAGCTGAGTGATCCATAGACGGAGAGGGACTATAAACGCAGCATTGAGAAACTCACCTCTCCCGCCCAGAAGTTCCGGGCAAACCAATCCTCCGTCGGAGCGTCAATCCCAGCAAACGACGCACCCGAATTGGGAACGATTTGTGCAGACAGGACATCCCACGCGTCGTAATTAAGCTCTTCTATGAGCTCCATAGCAAGCTCGTGGCGGCCACACCGATGTTGTATCACCCGGCTGAGGGCTTTGACAGCTCGCCGATCCCTCCAACGTCGCTCAAAATACATTAGCCGATAGTCGCCACCAAACCGAGCCTCAAGCGCCGCATGATCTTTCGATCGGGTCCACCGTGCTAGATAGTGCGACTTCCATATATGCGAGAGGCAGGCTATGGCTCGCAGCATTGAGTTAGTTCTGGAGCATTGAAGGAGAGTGCGGGCACTGTCGTCGAGAAGTACGCCATCTCGGACAGGAAGCTGTTCTAGGATGTGCTCGTAAATCTCAGGGAACAGATATGAAGGCATATCCTGATGCGGTAAGCGACGTAGGAAGGGTGCTCAATGTCGTTGTGAGTTGTGCTCGATAGTGTCGTGGGAACGTTAACCGCACAAAATGACCGCTTGCGTCAATTCCAGATCTACGGATCAATGCAAAGTCTTTCTTAAGTCACGATCAGGGCGTCCTCGTTATCGATCTATGTGTTGACAGAAACAACATTCCGACTAGATGAATTCGCAGCCGCAACAGATCGGCTATCTCGCGCCCAGTCGTACTGGGATCGATAGTGGACGACAGGCAAGAGGAGCATCCATAGTACAACATGACGAGTACCGATTCGTCGCTACGTAAATGCCGAGAGCCCTTGTAAAATGCCGCGGAAAGGATATGCTGAACCCCCTTCCTTAAGGGGCATCTCTTCGCTGCCCGGGGATTGAGACTCTTAAATATTAATTCGTTATTTCTCCTGACACCCGTCGCACATCCAGATAGAGGGACGTATGTACATGTGCATGTGGATATGTATCGGCATCGTTGCGCCGGTTCAAGTTGAACACGGGTTTCAGGACTAGTACTATGCTTTTCAAGACGCTTCAAGTGGGGTTTATCCTGGACCCGTTGTATAATCAGCCAGCACTCTATATCATTATCGAGGATGCGCCGTTCCAGGGCGGAGCTCAAGTGACAGGACAACTGTGGAGAAGGCAAGGGGTGAGAAGTACACATGCCTTCATACAATTATCAAATTCGATGGGACCAATACCAGTTACACTAGTAATTGCCATGGGGTTACTGGTTGGGATAAGCTAGATGCGGACGAACTTGAGGAGGCACTCCGTGAACGGAGCAAGGGAGATGTGGATTGATATCTGGAGGACATTCTGCTCTTCACTGGATGATCCGCTCAAGAGTCGCTGGGTGTTAGCAGACCCGAGCTGGGCTGGCGGATGCCCCGCAGGCATTGCCAGGCAACAGTGGAGGAAAGGTTGTGTATTTTAGGCGCCTTCCGAGAAATAGCAAGCCATCATCCCGAGCGGACTCCGCTGTTGACCGGCGCTGATGCTCTGGAAAGTGCGCTTGAGTTTTGTATGCAACAGAGACTACGGCCTGCTTACATTCAACACATCGAGGGCAACTGGACATTTTATGGATGAATATAAATCCCAAGACTCAACGGGAGAAAAGGTATGAAGGCTGATTGGTTCTCCACTAAAGGCTAGAATGATCGTCATGTCTGCATAATCACTAGCAAGCGAGAAATATGACATATGACAATAAATTCGAAATATTTCTGGTAAGACTGAGGTCACCTGATCATTTAGTTTGACACTATTGTGACATGTTTGGATTGAACACAAGGAACCTTGGACGGCCTTCATTCCTGTGACCCCCAAGTCCCAAACCGTTCCGTTCATCGGCGTCGGAGGCATATTTGTGTGTGGCCAACAGCTTTACACGCGTTTCTAAGGCTCACATGCACTTTCAGCGAAGCCTTTGACGCTTTGGTGCTCCAGCTGCTGACAATATTCTCCCCACGCCGACGGGGATACTGACAGCCATCCTCACGTAGTAACGCACTAGACGATTCCACGATCTTACGTCTACTCGATTCAATCCCACGATCCTCAAGATACTAACGTCTCTGCTCGCTTTTGAACTTAACGACTTTCTGCAACGAATTTCTGACGACGGTCACACGTCATTGCTTGTTTTATTCTACGATTTTAGGCCAATTTTTACGACATTTTGTTAAGTTTCTGAACGATGTTTTCCAGTTTACGCCAGTCGAAACGTTCTACTTCTCCAAAATCGGTGGAGACACCTCGGATCGTCCCATCGATTCGGCTCACGACCGCTACGCCTGTAGCACCAACTCATACACCTCTTACACCTGGAGGCGATGGGGTGGGTCCTGGACGTGTAGGTCCCAAGAGGACGCTTGTTTTGCATGAAGCTCCACCTCCACTTCCACTTCCTCCTCCTCGACTCGTCATCCCCATGTGCGAGAATGGTGCGCCTCAGCGACCGCCTTCCCGAGCAACATCTCGTTTTGGCTCGTCTAAGCTAAGGATATTTATGGACTCAACCTCATCTAATGATGAAATGCCGAAGCTAGTCAAGAAGAAAAAGTCTCGTGTCGCTCTCGACTCCATCAAGTGGGCTTTAGGTGACCGCACGAATGGCACAAAGGAACTCCAAAAGGACGATAGGGAAACAAAGCCCCGCGCCAGCATCGATTCCGAAAAGGAGCGCGAGAAAAAGAAGTGGACTATAGGCCTAGGAAAGAAGGACGCCAAAGACAAAGAGAAGCTAGGTCGAGGCAGTAAGTGATATTTAGGCACCCGCATGTTAGTCCACCCTTTCGTTAACCCCTCCATATTAGCCACTGTCGCTGGTACACAGCCATCGAGCGTCTCGCAAGGGTCGTCTCAACCGACTTCGATCTCATCCGCGTACATACTCAGTCCGACCACCCCATATCTTTCCCCCGACTCAGCTTTGTCCCCCACTGGGACTGCACAATTCCTTCTTAAAGAACCCGAGCAAAACCGTGGTGGATCTCTTGCTGTGCGAGCGATGCGCTCAGTTCGCTCCATGGCCAGAATAGGTGGTTGGGGTCGCGATTCTCCTGCAACTTCAGCCCAGCTGGCAAATAAGTTGAACAAAGGGAAAGGGGGCGTTGCCCGGGCGGTTGGTAGTGGAGAGTCATGGCTGGCTGGCGCACCGTCGCCCCAAAGAAATGCCACGATTAGTTCGAGGCATTCTGCTACCGTTCGTGCCAATGGTGTGCGTCAGACATCCCTAGATGAGGAAAATCGTCCATTACCTACCATCAAATTTCCATCTCCTGGCAAAGAGGAGAAAAAGATGCGTCCTGTCTCTGCCTCCTCCGCGTCCAGCGGGGAGAGCGTGCTCCCCCGGGAATCGGCGTCTACAAGGGGCCCATCCATCGACTCCCATAGGACGTCAATGTCATCACGTACATCATCGGGAGCTACTAATTCACAACATGGCTCCGTGACTCGGAAGACTGCGCGTCCTAGCCGTGACAAAGATACGAAGAATGGGGAACGTCGAAAACGTGGGGCGCTGTCTAACATATTCGATATGACGAGCGGTTCAAGTTCTCCCTCTACCATGAACACCAAGGCATCCACTCGCAAATCTGGCTCGACCGGTTCTGTTGAGTCGTATGGAGAGCCGATCGCCGTTGATGGAGCAACTTTTGAGCTAGTTCGCGCCGTTGATCCGTTCTCTCCATCGCGTGGTTCCGAGTCTTTCTTGCCTCCTTTGGCCGAGGTACCCCAACAGATGATCAAGGACGCGAATCTTTATGTTCCAGGCCACACTCCGGAAAGAAGACCTCGTCCGAGGCCTCTTTCAGATGCAGCCCGACCACGGCCCACCGGCATTGTTGCTAGTGACATTCTAGACGGGGCTGGTCAGAGTGAGTCTCCGAATCGCTGTCATGGGATCATGCTATCCGAACTAATCAAAACTCAGCTCTACCCCTCAATATGTTGACAGCTGCCACTGAGGAACTATACGATCTGATCAACCGTCTCGACTTGAGTACAACTCCTGAGGCAAGCCCCGCAAAACGTTGGTCCCCTCACTCGAAAAACTTTACGCCGGACCCTATGCCTGCTTTCGCGCTTCATACCATTGAACGTGCTCGTCAGATTCGCTACCCTGACGTTCCGTCTTCAGTCAAACCAGACCGCACGTTTGATGTTGACACGTCTTTTAGTTCTGGCAAGTCACAGGAAACTCCCAAAAATCTGTTCAAAGGGCCATTTACTGGAAGTTTGTCTGAGCTTCGGGGCCCTATATCCGTGGGCAAGGGTGCATGCGAATCGTTAATTAAACAAGAGCCGAGCATCACTTCACTACGCCCATATGACTGTGTGGCGTCTCGGAATGAGGCCACCGTCAGAGGTTCCTCTCGCATTGACCGACCGCGGGGCATGTCCACAAGCAATACGTCATGTCAAGTCAGCTTCGACAGTCCGTTGAAGAACGTCACAATCCGTAGGAAACGAAGACTCGTTCCTCAGCAACCTCGGGAACAATCATCAGCAGAGTCGCTGCACCAGCAACTTCGACCCATTACAAGACCAGAGATACGTCGCCAACTCGGTTTCAGCGGCACAATGGGACCCACCGATGAAGCGGATGACACTGAGCAAACACAGGAGCCATTCTCGTCTTCCGAGGATGAGGCACCGGCCGACCCAGATTCGGACATACCTGATGAGTTGCAAGTCATCCTCTCAAGCAGCTGTTCTACCCGATCATTGGATGATACGCTTTCTATCCCTCGGCCCCCTGAGTCGCCTTTGTCCGATCACTTGTCTCTACCAGTTACAACATCGGACTCGAACTCCTCTCCTGGTTCATTACCAGGCCCTCATTTTTCCCTAACGATTACTGCGCCGTCTGGGATCAGTTATGAGCCAACATATTCAGATGAAGAAGGCGACCATATGCGTGAGGACGACACTGGCAAGAAGAGCTTCGACTTCACCGGTGAACTTAACCGTCTGAATCAAGGTGGTGTGCGACTTAGCTTCGTAGAACAGTTGGAAGAGGCTTTCAAGACACCGCAAGTTTTCCTTTCTGATTCTGGCTCTGCGTCAGAATCGCGCGCAACTTCCCCTGTCTCACTGGACTGGGAGCTCCCCGTGGAACCTAAGGCCAACTTCGTGAGTCCTTGTTTAGACATGCGTTTTGGTTTGGGATGGTATTTGATGCATAATTTTCGATGCAGAATCGAACTGGGGAGCTGAATCCAGGCTTCCAGTTTGGCAAGCCAACAGCGCCGTTAAATATCGCCGTTCCCCCAACGAAGGTATTTTCACTCAATTATGCGTCAAACATTTCATCTGTAATGCATTTTTAGGGACTTCACTCTCGCACGAACACTGAGACGAGTAACTTAAGTGCTCGCGAAATTGAGCTTCTCGAAGATTTGGATGCTTCAATGTGCGCCTTGGTGACATTAAACCTTTCCCTCGTCCACCCCTCGTCCTCCCAAAATAACCTTACAGTTCGAGTGCCACCCGCCCACTCATCCTCGGAAGTTAGCACCGAGATTCCCTCTGCCGGCGATCCGGACAGTTCTGCATATAGGATTGCGAACATTGACCTCTCCTTAATCCACCCTTTAGGGACTAGCGATCGCCACCCGGAATCTCCAAATTTTTCTTCGGAGCTGGATAGACAGGAAGAGAGGTCAATAGTTGAATTGTCTTCCTCGCAAAGGGAGCGCTGTATCTCATTGGAATCTGATACGGAGTCCAAGCGGGAGGCTAGATTCTCAGTCACAGACTGTGCCCCATCCCATAGCGGCCACAGTCGTGGAGAATCCGTAATGAGCATGTCATCTCTTGGATCCATTATCGATTCAGGAGTACCTGATCCGTTCGGATACCGAGATGAAATAGCTGGTCCTCCTCAAATCCCATTGCCCCCTGCTCCGTCGTTAGGTCATTCCCACAGCGACTCACTAGCAAGTATCCCTTCAATGTCCAGTCTCGGCCGAATCATCAAGCCTGGCAGACGCAATCCCTTCGGCTACGCGACCACTGACAACAGTCATTCGCGAAGCATCTCTCAAGCTACCGACTTCTCTCTGAACGTTGATGACTCCAATCCCAGGGAGCGAAAGGCGAAGGGCAGAAAATCGACGGATTCTGAGAAATCGCAATTCTATTTTCAGAGCAGGCCTCCTCCCCTTCCAATGCCTCTCCCGTCTACTATTCATGGGCATGTCTGTGATGACTCCGTGTCAAACACTTCACTCGGACCACCTGTGAGTCTTCACAATGCGTCTTACCGGCGACACCAGCGCAATCGGTCGTCCAATGACAGTGGGAGCTCCATTGCCCATGCATACAATGTGCTGGGAGCAAATGGCGGTCGCGCAATCTGGGCAAAACATCAGAGTGATCGGTCCGTGGACAGCTTCTCCAGTGATTTGTCGTTGCCTCGGTTTGAACGTCCTGGACTCGGTGATAAAATGTTGGAGAGCGCAGCTGATTATCAGGGCATGCCGCTTACTGCTATCACCGCATCGCCGAGCGCAAGCGAAGCGGAGGACGCGCCGAGTTACGCACAACAATCCTCTTTCGAAAGCGCGCCAGATTCCCGGAGCGATTTAGATTCGTTGCTCGATCCCTCCATCGATCCTTCGGTCAGCGCCGATTACATCTTTGGTGATGAGGGCCAGCAATCCAAAGGCAACCTCTTTGGGTCCCATGCCGCCAATCGTCGCATCCGCCCTTTATCTGTATTCAGTGTGGCAAGTGCAACATCATCTGCTCGGGATGATGATACGATGGTTTCTATGCTGGGTGGAGGGCATGTCAGTCGCAAACTCCTTGGTGACTCTTTCACATCTTCCCCTGCCTTTAAAGCCAGGCAGAAGCGTCCAGCATTCCGAGTCAGAGTTGATCGTAGCCCATCTAACGAGCATTTAATAAAGGGTAAACCAAGCGTCGCGTCCCAATCACCCTTGAAGTTTGGTTCAGAGCGCATGGTCAAAGCGAACCAAGGTCTCCTCGAGCGGCAAAGCCTTGAAGCTGGCGCTCTGACTGCGAACGCGGAGGGTTCTGAGGTTTCCATGGATGGTACGCGGCTAGCCTCCTCTGTTGCCTTGACGTTAACGAAGAATGTATAGTTTCTGCATGCAACTTTTCTCGTCCCGCCACAGCCAAGTTACAGCGAAACATCTTTGCTCAAAGCCTGACCTCAAATGAGTCTCATTCTCGTCCGACCACCATTGTATTGACGACCGCCGCTCCAGACACTCCCCCCACCACCGACTGTAGCGATTCAGGTTCTCAATCGAGCATTGACCTGACTCGACTAAGTGTAGCTCTGAATGGGTCACGCCCTTCCAGTATGGCCTCCTCATCCTCAGGAAATCGGATCAGGGCAAGGGGACAGGGCCATCGACGACGGTCTGTCTCTCGTGGTTCCAGAGTCGAGACTATCATGGAAGAAGTTCCTGGCCTTGCTTCTCCGTACTCATCCGGGAGTTCTGTATCTAGTCTGGTGTCGACAGTACCCTCAATGCGGTTTGAGATTGTGAATGCCAAGACAGGCGAGCCTGAAGTTGATGTCGTGGAATGGGATAACGATGACAGCAGCACTGAGATTATGCGCCGGTATCATGCTTTACGCAAAGAGGCTTTCGATATCGTTCAGCAGAGTAAGCACGACTGGGCTGACACCGACTTCTCACGCTTTGCATTGGCTTGTGAGTGCCCTTGCTGTTCAGTGCCATTAAGCGCTCATATTCCTCCTCAGCATTTAAACCTCCTCAAGAACCTGCCGCCCTTCGGGCCTTTTATGATTATTCTGTGAGGACTTACACGCACTTGCCGTCTGAGTTGTGCCACAGACGACAGCGGCGAAACTCTCGCCCAAGCCCATATGGCTCACGTACTCCAAAGAAGGGGTTTGCTCCTCGCCTTCCCAGGCAGCACCACAGCCGAACTGAGAGCATGGAACAAGCATTTACATGCATTTCGCCTCCTGCTTTGGCTGTCATCCCACCAACATCCCCATTTGCGATTGATCGTTCCTTCTCTACCGTTGGTCTTACCCCCTTACACCCGAATTTGCCATTGCAGACTATAGACCCTCTCGAGACTCGTCAACTAACTAAAGTAGCGGAAACAGATACCTGCAAGCCTAGGCCGCGTCAACGCGTGGCCTCCAAAACCCGTCGGAGTGCCCTTGGGTGGAGCAAACAACGCGGTACTGAGCCAGTCAAACACGTTCAGGCAGCTTCCCCTTTAAAGAAGTCTGCGACTGCTAGATTGAAAGAGAATATTGAAGATGTTAGAGGTGAAGCCATGGGACTTGTCATGAGGTCAGCTGCAACGACAAGTTGATATTTGTCACTAACTCGGCGTCTTATGTAGCCCAACCGGTTCTCTTCGCCTCTCTCGCCCTCGTCCCAAGAGCAGACCTCAATCCATGCTTTCCCGGCCTTGATACGTGGCTCAGGCATGTTGGGTTCTACTGTTTGTGAAGTGTGGGTTCATCGGAACACAGTCCTCGGAAACCTTGTATCAAATGTGACTGTTGTAGCATGCTTGCAGAACTTGTCTCGACCTTGAATTTATGATTAATCGCCCGGTGCGATCCTTCAATGTCCAACCCAATTTTGAATGATCTATTCCGATGCGAGATTCTGCCGAGGCCAGGAGCATTTCAAGGTGAAATAAATACACGACAACCTTCTCACCCGGACTTGTCGGCAACGAGTCATCCTTAGTCTGCCTATGTACTTGTTTGAATCGAACCGACTAAAATCTGCAATTTTGCAAAACCACCCGTCGTTCGTCCGTGAGAGTCATGCGTACATGATATGTATGCTGTTATTTGGCGATTGTTCATACGTGAAGAAAAGGAGGGATAGCAGCGGCATCTAAATTAAGGAATATTTTTGTGCTTTATTTACAGCATGTCGTCAACGATCGTTCATTACAGTATACTGGTATCCGCAGTTGATGCGTCAGTCTTTCCTCTAGTACCTGCTCTCGCCTGTCGAGTCGTTGAGATGGTGCCGTAGCTACAGATTTATCAAGGCGGCTACATACGAATATAACCTCGATCTGAACCAATGAGCGATACCTCCCATGTTTTTGCAGCAGGCGTGCTGTCTCTTGCCCGTCAACACTTAATATATTTCTGACTGCTGATTGAAACGAGAGCCTGCTTTTGCCTCATGAAGACCTTTATGTATCGACATCCACAGTGTCTTTGGACCTTTAAAAACACTAGCGACCAATGCGCGAGGGTCATATACAGTAGACGTATACATGACCGAGCTATGATATGATCTAGACAAGCGGTGCCTACCTTGAAATACGGTATCATATATCGGAATAACAGAAAACAGACTAACCTAGCCAAGTGTTATCAGCCGGCAGTGGGTTGTCTGAGCGTGATATCAAACTGACAGTTAGATATCGTGCTCTGGCCAAGTCGCGGACATTATATACATATTCGGGTGGCCAGCCAGGATAAAAGGGTACAAAGTGGCGCGCAACATGAGGTTAGAGAGATAATAGAATCCATCCCGCCGCCAGTGCGGGTAGTCGCAATATTATGTGTGACTACGTCGGGTTGCTACGTCAACACCAAGCACCCAATGTGTTAGGACCACATCTTGCGTTCCCCCTCAAGAACGCAAGCCGTGTAAGTTTTCGTTTCGGTTAAGTCTGTCCGACAGCGAGGAAAGGGCTAGGTAGCGTAGATTAAGCCTAACCGTGAGCATATCGAGTTTTATATGGGGAAGATTGCATGTACTAGACTCTGGGTTTGGGGCCCCGGATGCCTTCATCATCAGGATCATAGTCATCCGGTGCCAGGCTGGGCAGAGGATGTAGTCAATGCAGCCCCAAAACCGAAATGGGTACGTTAACATTGCTGCAGCGACGAAAATATTGGGGAAGCGTTCCAAGTTTCTCGATTCGGCTGCCACTTCGACAGCGAAAGTTTCCCATGTCGCACACCTAGCTGACAACACTTGGAGCCTCCAGGAACCGGAGCCGTATGTATAGACCTGGAATGGGTGCATTGTTAGGTAATGGGATGTTGCATAGTTTCACTTCAATCATGGGAACGGCTGAAAACCCCCTATATCGTGATTCCATAGGATCCGGCAGATCAATCATATCACATGAAATATCAGCCGGTGATTCGCAATGTACACGGCAGTGTCAGTCAGAGCGTTGCGGAAAGATCGTGTACCTACATATGTTGTATCGTTTGGCGATTGGCCAAACATGCATGGGGGAGGTGTGGTCGTAGCATCATTGCATCTAATCTACGGAGGACGTACCGAGAGCAAATTACATCTGATTCTTTGCGCAATGAGTATTACACATGATGTGATCGATTATCATTCGTGTTATGTCAGCGCTCAATGGCAGTATACCAGAGCGAGAAGCGTCCACGAGGAAGATTACAGCAAAGGAGAAAAAAAAACAGACAGACAAACAGACAGTGCAGACACAACCATGACTAGCAGGCAATCCAGAAACCAAACCACTATACGAACATAAATATGGCACTGGGGCGGCAGGAAATAAATATCCATCTGGGAAAAAGGCTGCCTTAATAAACTTGTGGGCTTACGCGATGAAAATCAACATGTCGACCGCTTGAGCTTGGGTGAAGAACCAGAAGATAGGGGAAGTGATTGGGTGGACGATGATTCTAAGGTGTGTCGACGACTTAATCAAGAATGAGTATTTAATTAAGAATACACATTGGGTCGGAATGTACGTGCCTGACTTGGACGGCGTCTGGGATTAAACGCTTCCGGACTGTGGAAGGTCCATGATCATCCGACGCTGCAATGGTTGGACCATCCAGTTGGACAGGTGCAACGTTCTCTGGGGTTAGAGTGTTAGACGTCCGGTCGTGTGCTTCGACATTCTGAGTGACTTCTGGTGTGTTCCCTCGGTGCGATACATTAGTTGACGTCCCCTCCATATGCTGGCTCACATTTGACACCAACTGCTGTGAACGAATCATGTCGTTCAGTCCACCGCCATCGGCCACCGCCCCCGAGTCGGAAACGTCACTGTCGGGCTCTTGTGGCATACGTTGTCGGAGCCAATTTGGCGCGCACGGCCTGAGCCACTTGAACAAACACACTTCCCAGTTTATGCCGAAACGCTTGAGGACGGGAGGGAGAAGCTCGAATAATTTGGGCAAGATGAAGCCGATCATTGCGGCAAGTTGGTCCAGCTCCGACCAAGAAATCCCAGATTCTGGGAGCCATTCGGTGCCGGAGACTAGCGCCAACAGCAAGCACACGACAGTCGGGAACAGAGGGAGGAAAATGACAGCCGGAATGGCCAAAAAAACAGAGACGGGTGATATTGAAAATGTTTTTAACCCAGTTCGTCTGTCTGAGTGTATCCCAATCAATGACGTAGAGAAACACCATGTAGAGGGCCATTGCCAGTGCCGCCCCAATTATGGAAAGTCTGAAAGAATCAGTACTATTGATGAATTGGCCCATGAGCAACCTTGAGTGAACTCGCCAACCCCAAACCGACCACATTTGAAGGCGTTCCATAGATAGAGCAGGATGAGAACCATCAACGAAAGGCGGTAGTGAATGGACAGGGATACGATGAATCATGCGTTCATACTGCGTCATAGCGGAAAAGGCTGATATTAAATTGATGATCCACAAGCCTAGAGAACGTATCGAGGCTTTGGGGGTGTCTATAGCATCCTCACCAGGATTATGCTCAGAGGGCGCCACAAGCTTTTGGGATGAGGAAGTAGATCCGGGCAATGCTTGCAATAAACGCAGCGCCAAAGTCGTAATGAGTTGATAATGCTGCGGCAATGAACCAATGCCACAAGTGTGGAGGAAACGCTTCCAGCTTCTCAATACGGACGCAAAGGCGGATCAAATCGGCGGAGGACGTAATTATGATTATTGTAGACGCCATTAGGTCGGGGTCGAAGCCTGGCGAGGCGTTCTGTGATATAGTTTTCCACACCGCAAACCAGCTTGACAATACGAACACCCTCCAGGAACCGGGGCCGTATAGACCAGACACGATTGCATTATCAGGGAGCGGAGTGCCTGATTTGACCCCAGAAAAATTCTGCCATATGGTCTCCACTGCCATTAGGATAATGAAGATCAGTGCCAGAGATGGGCCAGCCCGGTGCAACGCAGCAATGATTGGGGTCAGCATGAGTCTGCTGAACTTGGATACGTCGTTTCCAAACTGTCGTTTTGAACTGCGAGGCAAAGGTGGGTCAACTAGAGATACAGAGCCGATGAAAGATGACAGGGCGCGATAGCTCACTTACTCTTCAGTGTCTTGTTTGCTTAGGAGTTGAGACCTTTCATTGTGATGTCAGTGTTGCATCTTTGAATACGAGGCCATTACACATGCCTATATTTGTTAGTCGAAATGCTCGGGGTTAAAAAACACATTTGCGTTCCACTCGTGGAAGCAGCAAGGTGCTCGCCGTGATTATATATAAGTATAGCAAAGCAATATAAAAGAGGCGCAGCTGCGGAAAGAATTTGCCTATGCATGAACTGACTCGCACTCGGCCTCACGAAATCAACCAATCAATCAAATGTACAAGACAGGAGATAATTGGGAGGTCGCACAGTCGCGCATGTCGCAGCTATAGCGCGTTATAGACAAATGAAGATACTCGCAGTGACAGGTGGACAGATTCACACTCAGCCTCACAAATGAAAATAATCAATTAGTTATGTAAATACAAGTCAAAAAATAATTGGGAATTGGCACGATCGCCTCGAAGACAGTCGTGGTACATGCCTGGTACGGAGACATTCAGCATGCCTATTCAACATGGGCTAGCGCTAATCATGGAAATGCATAAGACCCCGCATGCCCTCCACTTGACGGAGCACGGCTTCCCACGATATCTCTGCCCGCTCTCGTGACACCCCACAGGTCTACAAACCCCAGTGACACTGTCCAAACCCCAAGCGACGCCCTCCAAGGAATTTAGACCTTTTTAGCCCCTTGTTTTTAATCTGGGTCCTCGATTTGTTCTGAAGTAGATGCTCAAGTACTTGTTCACTCTTATTGCCCAGCTCACGCACGCTGTTACTACCGGACTCGTTCATCCCACATTATTCCCCTATCCGTGGATCACGACGCTTCATGCTGCTCGAGTAAGCCTTGCGTTCTGTGCCCGTGCACAGGCATTAGGAACAGTTTATGAAGATAGATCGTGCGGCAGAATATGCAGGGTTCCTGTTAATGGTGAGTGGTATCTCCTCGATATAACCAGTAAATCCACCGTCGTGTGTCCTAACAATTGGTGTACATGTCACTTGAACACCCTTATCGTATTTGATATGCCGGCGGACAATGACGACAGTGCTGGGCGGCACTCTCGGCGTCCATTCCCTGCTCTCTCTCCCACCGCCTCAAATCCTCTCGCTTCACCCATACATCAACTACTTAAACCCCTCATGTCTTTCTCTCCACTCTCTTCTCCCAAGCGTTCCCTTCCCCTTCCCTCCTCAAATTTATTGACACAGTTCTCCCCATGGTTGATGCCATCCTCCGCACAGGAGGTATCACTTCCTCGATCCATCTCGCTCTCACGCACCCTACTCACCCACAATTGCGATCATCTCTGTTCCTTCAACTCCTCTTAGGTGCTGTGGCTTCAGCAGGGGGAGGTGTACTGGCAGGAACGTTGAACGTCTTCTCAGCGCATTGGTCCTTCACCACCCCTCCCTTTCTTCGCTCAAACACCCCAAGTGGTTCCTTCCTCGGAACCTTGGACATATGGAGTGGGAGTGTGTCTCCCTCATCTATGGGTTCTTGATGGTTCACACCCCTCATACGCCCTATCCAACGATTCCTCATCTCAAACGCGCCCTTCCTCTTTGGGAACATAGACAAGGATAGCTGGTCGGCGCCGTTACTACAAGGAAGCGCAGTCCAGTTGATGACCCCTCTCGAGGCTCGGAGTGTGAGCGTTATCGTGCTCACTTTGATCTATGCTTATAGAGTCTACGCCGTGCACTACCGTGCGCCGTCAAGTGCAAAAATGGATGCGAGAAGGATTTGGAAGAATGTCAAGAGCCAGCAAGGGACGCCGGTGAAGGCCGATGCTTTAAAGAGAAGACAGCATAATCTCCAGAAAGTGCTTCTAGGAATGCCTTCTCCAGGAACGATAAGATCTTCGGAAGGATAAATATATAACGTCACGTTTCAACAGTAGTTCATGGATCGAGTATCTTGTTTGCATTGAGACTCGTTAATTACAAACTCCAAGAGATGTTTTCCGCTACTTCGTGCCCAAACGCTATAAATACTTCAGGACAATGGGGGGGTTATCAGAATTTTACTGAAATAGGCTGAGTGTTCGGTGCCCCTTGCTATAAATCCCCGAGGCTCTTTTATTATTTGATGTCATACTCGCGCACGCCCTTCTTCGTCCTGAAATTCAAGAATTCCGATGCAATTAAGTAGTCGACAGATGACATCATCATGCAAACAACGATTTTTTGTCTTGGCTCCGTCTTTGTGACCACCCAGTAACTGTCCATCTCCTTTCGACGTTCGTCCCCTGTGACATTCAGTTAGTACGTACCGTCAAGCAAGATGGAGCCAAGTCTCTCCTCAATCGAATGCTCCTTTTGCCAATTCCTCCGAGATGACAATCCCATGCATTAGGTGAGCTTCCCAAATCTTCGTGATAAAATCGGTAGGTTACGATGTTGACCAAATGCCATACATCAACGTAAACAACCCCCTCCCCATCACAGAGGCACTTTGATTATTATGCCCTAGCTTAATAATGATGATATCAAGCTCCAGCAATTAACAGTCGGCAAGCCTGCTTTTGCTATTGGGCCTTAGGTCTCTCTAAGCGTAACCAATCCTCAGCGCTTCCACCCCTGGTCCCTCTGGCGTCCTTTCAGAGCCGTAGACCAGACCTTGCATGCAGAAGCCCGGCCATCAAGGTGCGCATGCATAGATCGATGAGAATTTGATGCCTACGATAACATTGGACACCTTCTTGAACGGGATTAGTGGTAGGGTAGGGATTGGATAGGCATCGATACACATAGTTGAAAGGGATATCGAATAGTGGATCTGTTTTAATTTGGAACACTTTGCCTGATGGTTTTAAAGGTTTAACACTTCCATGTCGGCGCACCGTGAGGCTGATCTATGCGTAAAGGCGCCAGCTTATCTAGGAGCTCAAGACTCGCTTCCTGCTTCGCCAGGGCATGGTTCAGTCTGGGGGCTACCATGCACGACACGATGGACTAGCTTGATTAGGCTTGGACCGTTGTCTCATCCCCCGGTTCTCTACTTACCTGGGAGCTGATGACGATAGCTCGATCAGTTCAATCGTCCATCCAGTCATGGCATCGTCTATGAGACCCAGTACAATATGCCAACCTACGGAATCCGGGATCTGTATTTCATTCCTTCTCACATTAGTCTCGTAATCTTGTCCCTGGCCTTGGCGAACAATTGGCTTTACATTATGACCGACCTCAGCGCTTTGGGACTAACTTTGGAGTGGAGCCCAACATGAAGACCGACCTTCAAATCGGAATAAGCAAAGGTTGAACTTAATTAATTGATGATGAGCCACAAGAGAACAATATACATATCATGGCGATTTGCTGTCCCAGTGGTAGGCTCCCGTGAGGGCAGCATCATTAATTTTCTGTCGCAGTATCCGACTCTGTCATCGTGCGGCCGAGAGTGTGGCGCCACATGCAGTACACCGAACCGAGAGATACTCGAGGGCAGACACAACCATGACCAAATCATAACGCAAGCAATACAGACTAGATACAGGCATTGGAGCGGCAGGGCCCAATAGTTAGGGGATATCTCGTCTCACTGCACCCTCAAGAATACACAGGTCTGTCCAAGCATAAGAACTGTCCCCGGATACCCATAGATCTACTACTTCATCTGGGAGGAGAGCTGCCTCTGGCCGTTTGAACTCGGATGGTGGAGATTGCGTGGATAGTGGTGGACTAAATCGAAGAATGAGTATTTACTTGAGTAGACACATTGAATCCCAATAGGGGGTTTCACGGTTGACTAAAGTGGATCCAAAGTGAAATTTCTAAAGTGGCATGTGAGTGACAAAACTGGACCTAAACTGCATCTAAACCGGCCACTTTGACTTGGGGCTCAAGAGCCCCAATTGGCCTAAAGTCAATTTTCTAAACTGAATCTAAACTCGGGCTTACCGCTGATAAATCTGCGAGCCCTGAGAGTGTGTCTACTATACAGTTCTTCATCCCAGATCACCTGTCCGCTTTCATCAACCCCATCACCATCATCTTGTCTCCACTGTCTCCACTGTCACCGACTCCAACATGGTCTTGGACTTCAATGGGAACTATCATAGCATAGGCTGCTTGTCAGGGACAGCTCCGAAAGCGGCGAGGTCCCGGTGCGAGGGACTTGATGGGACAGATGTCAGCTATGCATAGTGGCGGTCCCGTCGCGGGGTGAGTGTCCCCGACCACTTAGTCTGAAGTGGGAAGTTGTATTATCATTAAAGGGGAGAAGCTACAGTACTTACCTGAAGTGGGAAGTTGAGAAGAAGGCTGCTTCTTCTGTTCCCACCCCAGGCACTATTATATACATGCGGTTGGGGTCACATGGGAGGAGCCACGTCATCTCCGCACACAGCTGCACTTCCCTGGGTATCTCTGCGGGAGATCTCGGAGGTGTGCCGCTCTGTGAGCAGGAATGCGCGCGGCGGGCGTGGTGATTGGGGGAGTGGGGTTAGGTGTGTAGTGATACATAGAGAAGGGGAAGTTGACTGTGGAACGGAAATAGAAAGAAAGAAGGAAAGGGAAAAGAAGAAACAGGGAGTGATAGTGGGGAGCGGAGTAGGGCAGCGTGGCACAGGGTCAGGTGGGGTGTGCCCTGACATCACCCCCTCTTAAGCCGCTTCGCCTTGAAGCAGCTGGGCGGTTCTCTCTTTCTCTCCCTGGGGCATGTGGGTGCGTCCGATGGAACTCCTCGACTAGGTCTGAGGCATGGGTTAGGTGGTCGCGTGTGAGCCATTGGTTTTCCAAGTGTGGCCAGCCTGTATACTTTACCAGGTACCGGAGTTTTCGGCATAGCCACTTAGAGTCCAGGATTTTCTCTACTTCGTACTCCTCTTCTCCATCCACGAGGTCTGGGCCTGGGCGGGGGTCAGTGGGGCGTTCTGTCACGGCCCCGCAAAGTCCCCGCCCCTCTACCACTTTCTGCACCCCCACCCTCGCGCCGTTACTCGCGCCCGTTAATCTTGCCATTGCCCATCACTTAGCGGCGCTGATAGTGGTTCCCGTTCTACGGCCCATAGCAGCGCCTCCTTCGTTCTCCCGCCACCACTTGGGTCCTCAGCCATTCGGCCGATACCGTTTTACTCTATTCATTCGCTTAACTAACTAGCGGTTGTTATGGTCGCCGTGATCCGCTCCTTATTGACATTCCTTTATTGACAATTGATTATTCCTCTATTGATATTTGATTTATACGTATATTGACATTCTGATCCGTGCGCCTATATTGTCGGCCTATCCATTTCTGCCTCCCAACTTCACCGTCCTCTGTTCCATTCTTTTCTTCTGTTCCATTACCCTGGTCCGCATCGCCCTTTTAGTTCTGTCGTACTTATCATCCCGCTCCCATCCCGCGCCGGACCAACCGGTCCCTTCTCTGTTCTCCTTTCTTATTTATACTTGTAGTTTACTGTCAATGTACCTCAGTTCGAATATCGACTAGAATTCCCCCCCAAGTACTTGCATCCTAAGTTCGCCTCTCTACTGCATCCTCGCTTGAGTCAACGTCGCCGCAAGGTCTTCCCTGCTAACGTGAAATACGGGACAGCCTAGAACGCGTGGCGCAATGCTCTGGCCAAGTCGTTGAAGCCAAAGTCTCAACCCCACGACGCCTTGCAACGGAGTAGTTCATTAGCTAAGTGACCACTCATGCCGCCGCACTCCGCTCCGCTTCCCACGATCACCTCGAACATAGTTTCTGACAGTATATTCGAACTCACTGCGCGTTCAAATGGCTTCTAGACACTACGTAACTCGTTCGCAGACCCGCGAGCCATCCACCTCCACACAACAGCACCAATCTGGTCTCGGGATTCCTGACGACTACGACCTCGACATCGACACACCCTTCGCTAGCTTCACAGCTGACTGCGGAGGCCAACGATCGTCGACGCCTGTTTTTACAAGGTCCCGATCTGAGGCTGAAGTGGAAGGCGATGTCGACGCCACCGCAGTTCCCGACCCTTCCGCACCTCGTCCTCCGCCATCTTCGTCAAGGCCTCCACCACCAGTTGACCCAGTTGTTCCGCCCCCTGATGGTCCTGTTGGTAACAACCCTGACCCTGATGATCCTGCTAACGTGCAAGACAAGGCTAGCATCCTGATTCAGTTAACTCGAGCCATTGCGGCTCTCGCCCAATCCAACGTCCCTCGTCAGCCGCCACCTCCGCCACCTCCACCTCCGCCACCCGCCTCGATTGACAATTATCGCACGAAGGTGCGCGAGCCTGACCAGTTTGATGGGTTGGACCAAAGAAAGCTCCATACGTTCCTAGTTCAGTGTCAACTAAATTTCCGGGATCGTCCTCAGGCATTTAGCTCCGACCGTAAGAAGGTTATCTATGCTCAGTCGTTCCTAATGGGCTCCGCGCTCAACTGGTTCGAACCCGATCTCTTACGCACGCCTGGTGGTCGAGCACCTCCCTGGGAAGACGACTGGGAACACTTCATTGAGGAACTCCGCAAAAACTTCGGTTCACACAATCCCGCCTGCGACGCGGAGCATCAATTAAAAAACTTGGTCATGAAGGACAACCAAAGGATTAGTAAATACATCGTTGAGTTCAACCGTTACGCTTCACAGTTACGCGGATACGGTGAAGGCGCGCTTCAATCACTTTTTTATGATGGGATGCCTGATCGCCTTAAAGATGAGATCTATCGATCTGGTAGGCCTGATTCGTTGTGGGATCTTCGTGATCTTGCGCAGGAACTTGACACCCATTACTGGGAATGCCGCCAAGACAGCGTACGACCCTCCCGCAACAACGCCGCCTCTCCCTCCGTTCCGTCATCCTCTAAGCCCGCCAAATCTGACGGCAACAAGAACTCTTCGACCTCGTCGTCTCTTCCTTCCTCCGCTTCCGCCTCTGGTAGTAAGGCGCCTAAGGACAAGCCGTCCGGCGCTAAGCCTACTTCCTTCACCTCCGACCTTTCGACAAAACTCAGTAAAGACGGTAAGCTCACTCCTGAAGAGCGTCAACGCTGAGTCGACAACAAACTCTGCCTCTTCTGTGGCAAGCCTGGCCACATGGCAAGGGACTGTCGAAAATCATCTTCCAACGCGACTAAGGCCCGTCAGGCGATCGCCGAGGTGCCCGACGCCGAACTCGACGCCTCTGACGAGGCAAAAAACTAGTCGTCGATCTTTCGAGT